TGCCATTTTACAGACTAGTTTGGGCTTGGAGATTGGTTAAATTGAACTAGCCTAGGAATATGACTGTGTTTTTTTGTAATGTAACAAAGCTAAGTTTAAATCTAAATTCTATGAATGTTAAATAAATAGCAAAATTAATTGATGTTTACGAAAAATTTGACTTATTTTCAGCGTTGGCACCTGTGCTGTATGTTCAGGCCTAATTAATAACCCTGAAAACTTACATAACTTTGAGTTGTTTGAAAATAATAACAAGAATAATATAGTTGATGGAAAAATATTTTTTTTGTAGATACAAATAAGATTTTTCTGCTTCAGGGATGTTTTTACTATACAGGGTGTTTACAGTCTTGGAGTTGAAAATTGACCTAGTAATAGAAGAGTACAGAAATACTGTAACCGAGAAAAAAACTCACACAATTGTGATTATCAAGAATGTTATTTAACTCCAAAATATAATACACGGTTTGAGGGTCACTGGAATTATTTCCTTGTTGAAATAAAATTGTATTGTTGCAACAGATTAAAAAATCGTATCCATGACAATGAAAGAGAAAAGTCACTTCATAGTTTTGACACTGTCATCATTTGATTTGCTTTTGCATTAGTTTTTATCAAAATTCGATGATCTTCTGTTTAATCTCTTTCACCGACTGGTTTCCAATAGGTTTCATTCGTTTTTCTTAATTTTTCTCAAAATTTATGAACATGTATGGCAAAATAATAAAATAATGTCGTGATTATGATTTACGATGAAACACAAGGTAATGATACTAATGGCCATTGTCGCAACACAAGCAGCAGTTCTCAGACAAATAGTGTAAAATGAATAATTTCCTTTAACATCGTGAATTTTTGTTTTAAATATCGTATTAGTTTTCTTAGTTTTCTTCAACCGTGAATATCATCTCATTTAAATTTCAACCTCAAGACCGTAAACACCCTGTATACAAGCTATTATTTTTAATATTTGTATAAGTTAATTAATTTTCATTTACCTATAAACATGGTTGAATTTTTTTCTTTATTAAATTTTTTTAAAGCGATGTTATTTTGCTTCTAGAAAAATGCGATTGTTTTTTAAATTTGTTTTAAATTCATTAAAAAGTTTTTGAGATCTGGATTTTTTTTAATAGTAATCTACTACATATTAATTTTTTTGATATTTAATAACATTTGGATAATACTAGATAATAATGAGGAATAATTGCCTCATGAAACCCAACAAGTAACCTAGTTTTTAAAATTCTTTCGTCTCGTCGCCGCCACCATGCCCACGCAAAAACCGGTAATCGTCTTCGCCTTAAAGAATTTTGAGTCGCTATAAACTGAAATATTGCTTGTTGAAATGAAAAATTGAGATTTTTGCAAAGTTGATCACGGAATTAAGTGATAAAATTATTTTGAATGTGGCGTCGACTAGACTCAATTTTTGTATAAATCATTTTTGTGACGGTTTACTCAGCCAAAATGCGCCTCAGATTTTGTTTTCGGAATAGAATCGTTGACACAAATATCCGCAATCTTTTTAATAAATAAATAGCTTTTAGTTAGAAATACTCCAAGGTTCTTATCTAGGATCAATTATAAACCCTTTTGTATGTATTGGCAACTGATCATTTTTTTGTTTTTGATTGATTCAAGTACGTTTTTTATGGCGTCGTTGAATGATTGCTGAAACGTCTGAGAGTCTGAAACATTTCACTTTGATTTTATACGTTTTACCTTGAAGATAAAAACAGCCAAAAAAATATTTAGAAAAAATCAAAATTAGCCAAAATCACCGAATATAAATGATCAAAATTAATTTTAGCATTGGCATTTAACATTTGGGGTGTTGCCTCTTGCATCATTAAAACAAAGTCGTCAAAAGAAAAAAACAACAAGCGGATATACCACATATCTGACGTGGTCTCCTTTTCAAAATAGATGCAGCCGACTATTTCTGTTTCTATGATTTAATTTTAAACTGTCTGCAAATATGTTCATGTTTATTGCTCCCATTGTTTATTCTATTTTGAAATTCATTTTTAGGAGGGTCGTCGAAAGCGAAAACAACAAGAGGACAAATCCTTGTTTTGGCTTTTTACAAGTTTCACTTTTATTTTCCGTTTTCTGCGACATTGACATTTTATGTTATTAATAGTAATTGTTTTTGTGTAAAACTGGGGTCAGTTTTCCCATTATTTTGAGGGTCTGTGTTAACAAAAAAGCGATTTTATCTTTTGTGTGTCGAGGAATATTGTGTTAAAACAGGTTTACAGGATACAGGATGCGCCAAAACTTGCGCCCCAAAGAAAAATGGTAAGGTAAGATGCCAGGAACATGGAAAAAATTCTATCTGTAGTTATGAGAGTTTAAATTTTGCACTTTGACTCTATTTATTTCTGTTGGAAAAATAATGTTCCAAGTTTTTTTTGCTATAAAGACTATTAGAAGAGGAAACAAGGATAAGGAAGCTATATCCTAAATTGTTACTTTGTGGCTTTTATTGGCAACATTTTTATACCTTTACTAAATAATTGTAAAAAAACATACAAAATCTTCAGTATCATTAAATACACATAAAAAATGTCATATTTTTTAAACATTTGTACTATATGTTCCTAGTATTTTATATCTTATCCTACTTGAAATTTTTCTCTGGGGCGTGAGTTCTAATTTACCCGGTATGTATTTAAATTTAATTAGATGAGGCAGAAGTCAGGGACTCTCGCCTCTTTCTGGAAAAACTTAAACAAATAAAAAAATGTTTCACATTTCGTAACACTGTGTATGAGTTCGGAACCGTTTATTCTCAACTTTTACATAAATGAGGTTATCTAGTATGTAAAATTCGTAACTTCTAGCGCCACCTAGTAAACTAAGAATGAACCTGTAAGCTACACCTAAGTCCTAAAGTTTGTCGAAGGAAATAAAATCTCAATCATCTACCGTGAGGTACAGGTATAGTTGGTACCAACAATATTTGAGACTCATTATAGAATAAGACGATTACCCCCCACGGTGGTTAATGGGGTTTGCGGTAGAGATGCCATTAACAAATTTGCATTTCTTAGGACAGGCACGTTTCAAAGGTTTGTAGGAAGAGATGGTCCGTAACAGAAATTTGTTTTTGGGCTTTCATAAAAAAAAATTTAATATTCAGCTATATTTTGAGATTGTTTCTTTACAAATCTGCATTATCACTTTAACATTAAATTAATATATAAACTTCCAAATCTTTGCCTGTAATAAATTAAAAGCCTACCACGAAAATTCCGGAATACGGCTCTTTTGTAAATCTTCAGGGTAGTACCACCAGCAGTGAAAAATTATTACGGCTGACCGCAAGTCTGCTTAATCCTCAATAAAACTTTGCATACGTCAATCTCAAATATTCCTGGTGACGACTATAATAGTTATTCAAGGTACAAAAAAATTACTCCAGTGAAAGTTACCCCAGGAGTCCGTAGATCGCGTGGGGTACTTTTCTTAACTAACTTATTTATAATATACACGTGTGCCATACAAAACTTTATGAAACACTTCTTAATGCATTTTTTCATGTGACATATTATTAAGTTTAAATCCTTAAATTGTCATGTTCAAATTACCTGTTTATTATAAAAATTAGTGCAAAATAATTATATATTCCTTTCGAAAAATACTTTTATAAATATGTTGCGTGCCGAAGAGGCTTTGATAGTACCGTGCAATCAAAAAAAAAATAAAAATAAATTAGAGTAGGAGTCGAAAAACTATTTACTACTATTAGTATTATTTATTTCTGTTGAAAAAATAATTTTATTTTTTAGTCTTTTTTCTACAGACTATTAGAAGAGAAAACAAGGAAGCTGTAGGTATCCTAAATTGTAACTCTGTTTAATGTTTTTGTGGCTTTTATTGGCAAAATGTTTGTACCTTTTCTAAGTAATTATAAAAAAAACGTGCAAAAAAACGCAAAATTGATATTTTTATAATGTAATTTGGCCTGTTATAAATGCCAATTTTTTGACGTTGTCTTTGTCACAATTTACAATTTCATAATTGTCAGGCATTTTCCAAACTTCTATCAAGTTTTTCCACGCTTTTGTATTCGTTTTTCACACTGACTATGACACTGTACTGGTAAGACCACCAAATAAGACGTTTCTTTTGATACTTAATTTTTGTAATCTTTTTGGGAACAACCTTTTTCACACTATGTAGACGAATTTGACAATTTTGTTTATGACAATTTGCGTTTTTTTTGCACTCAAGTGTATACAAGATCATTAGTGCTATTAAATAGATATAAAATATGTCAAATGTCCAAAACTAAATGTCAAAATTTTTTGACGGTTAGAATATTTTAAATATTTTTACCATGCTTCTGGTATCTTATCTCACTTGAAATTTTTCTCTGTACACATACTATGTGCACCAGTACAATATCTTGTACAATTCAAAAATAAACAAGAACAGAAAAATTTATTTAAAGCGCAAGATTTTTTGTCGTGTAAAGAATAGAGAATTCCATCATAATGAAAACTTTGTCACAATTTTTTTTAAGAAGGAAAATGATTGGCCAAGAAAACAAAGTTTTGATCATTTCAAAATTGTATATTTGTAGTTAAAACCTTGCTTAAAAGGCTTAAATAATTAGATGGAACGATAGAAAAAATTCCTGTTCCCTGAGGTGAGAAAATTGACTTTTTAGTTATTATTACTAAAAAGGTTTCAAAAACTTCATTTTCAAATTATCATTATGGAAAAACAAAGGCGTAATCTTATTTTTTGGTTAAATTTTATTAAAACTTGAGAACTTCTTTATACTCGTCGGTGTTCCCTTGTGGTTGGTTGCTGTACTCATTCACGATGTCAAATTTCTTCTTATTGCGCTACTCAACTCAACTTAACATTTCTTCCGCACCACTAGAGGCCGCCTCATTGCAGTTTTCCCATCCATCTATTTTGAAATACTAGATTGGCGCGCAAGTTGAGCAACATGAAACCAGATAGTTTGTCAGTCGCGCATCAACTTGGGTAATGTAAAGAGCGCGAAGTATAATTTGAAACATGTGCACTGCCCTCACGAACCATTTCTAGCTTTGACCAATATTTTCCCCAATTTTTTATATAATGAAATATCCCGAACCGAATCGATCGATTTTCTGAACTTTCCTCTCCCGTTAAAATTAAAAAAAAAATGTGTCCGTGCAAATTGTGTGTGTTGTGTGTTTTCGTGTTATGTGTATACACAGTGACCGCTTTTAACGTCGATAGCTTCAATTACGCTTCTTACCAAGTGCCCAGTTACGACGGTCATGATTCCATGTTCGGATTCAGCATAACCCTCCACCGGGAAAGAAGCACAGGATGGTAGGTCCTATTTGTAGGAAAAGTGTTAATTTTCATAACCCGTTGACCAAAAATAGCTAGAGTTAAATTTAAACATTGCTCACTGCAATTTTTTCTCGATATTTTGCAAATTCCGACCGGATTTCCTTGATTTGGGGACCTTCTGGTGAACACATGTTGGGCCCTTAGGGAAGAACCCAAACACGTGTTTGGACTGTTGGCGATTTCGCGCCGGATGTGGACACCAGCGGCGTCGGGGTGCTGGCGCTCGCCCAACATTGAATAAATTTAGCGATTTTGTACAGGAAGTCGATACAGTGCAATCTCGTTTTGATAAAATAACATTAAATGAAAGTTGTGCTAGCCTCGGGGACGGTGAAATGGGGGCGGTTTGAGGCTGAGCATTATTCTCACTGACCTTGCATTATTGCCAATATATACGATGTGTTGCAATGTCGCCTCAGGTTATTGTGTCAAGTGCTAATATTAATATCATCTGCTATTCAAATTAACACTTTCTGTTTTTTGGCAACAGTTTACACTTTCGCTTATCAAGTCAAAGAAATCAACAAAGTCTACTATTTTTAAATCTGTTCTCTCCTTTCTGTGTTTTTCGACTCTAGATCGAGATTTAAATAGACTCCTATGTTGTGTGAAGATTATCTTTTTGTGGTCAGAGTTAATCTAACGGTTTTCTAAATCCTACTTAACATCTTATAGAAAATAGAATAGTGTTTGGTATTTTAAAAATTACAGACAAGAGCTATTGTTTCTATTGTACCCATAATAAAAGTCAATTTTTCTTATAATAAAATGAATCTTTTCGATTGAATACATACTGTTTGTGCAGAAATAGCTTTAAATTGATTTTGACAATCAAAACAACAAATTGTTGTAGTTGTAAGACTTATAGCCATTACACAATAGAAGATAAGACAGGATACAACCAAGAAATGGTCAGCAATAAAGATTGTATACATGATTGGAGAATTCCTCCGAGGTGTTGAAATATCACAATAAAAAGTATGTACTTAATGGGATGTTTTTTTTTGGTTGAGCCATTTTGTTTAGAAAATTAAAATTGGGAAAAGACAAAGAGCGATGGATTTTTAATTTTTTGATTTTGGGTTCTGCACATTTTTTTAAATGCCAACCGATTTTTCACCCAAAATTAAATTTTCAAATCGTTTTTTTTACCAAAAAAGCAAAATTTAATATTTTTTTTTAAGTAAATAGGAAGGAAGGATTAGTTTCATAATTCTTCCTCACTTTGTATACGTAGTATTATGAAATTAGAAGCAATATTTTTAAAATTCGTATTCAACATTAATTTATTACCTCGCTGGATCAAATAGAAGATTGATTGCTTGGTAATATAATAAGATGACAGTATCGATGTCTTTATCCTAAATTAAAATATTACACGACACGATAATGTTGGATAAGCATGACTGCAAATATAATATCGGAAGCAATATTAATTGCAAGCATCAACAGTTCATACATTTATATAATAAGCAACTTAGAAATTAGTATTAAACGAAAATCTAACAAGCAAATCTTAATTGCATAACTGTTTTGTAATGGTTAACTAACTATTAAGTATATTCAGGAAGGCTGTATGTAAAAAAAACAAGATTTTTTTGTTATTATGCTTTTCTTAAGAGACTTGGTCTTAAGAAAAGAAAAAAAACGGAAAAACAATGTATCTATTTATTAACCAATTGTCTTTCTTATAGTTAAATCTTTTTTATAGTTAAAAATAGTTAATTTTTTGATTAGTATTATTAAGAGTTAGGGCAAAAAGCAAATAAACATCAACATCAGATTTAAATTATCTATTTAATGGTCCAAACCCGGAGGTACAGTATTTTTCATAACTCAAAAACCATATGTCAAAACGGTTTATATGTACAGGCGAATTCTACGAGGCGAATTTTACATATTGTTAATAATTGTTTTTGATAAGTTTGAAAAAAAAATATTTGTTGGTCATAATCGAATATAGTGACTATGCTCATAACCCTATTTTTGGCTTTATTACTCAATATCTCAAAAACTACTCATCGTAGAGCATTTTAACCTGTTGCAACGTAATTTTACGTCTAGAATGCCATATTTCAAGCCTTTTTGCGATAAAAAGTTGTTCGACCATTATTACGTTACAATCTGCGAAATCTCAAAATTATTTTTTTAACTCGACCCAGTAACATTTTATACACAATTCTGAGTCTATTGCAACGTTTTTATATTTTTGTTAAGTCTCTTGGACTCCTTGGAATACATTTGGTTTCATTTTGAAGATTTTAATTTCTTCAATTTTTGACAACATTTTCTTCGATTTTTGTTACCCGGAGCGTATGTCAGCTAATAACATTAAAATTTCATTTAATAACTGTTTTATGTTTGGTATCGTTGAAAAGCATTTTTAATTTCCTATCTTAAAAAAAGATCATAGTTCTGCAATAAATAGTTATTGAGAAAATTCGCTGGTAAAACCAAAATACTAAAAATATTAATACGACAATAACTATCAAGAATTTTGCGGTTTTCTTGACACCAATTAACTTCACGGAACATTTTACATACGTATAGTACAAAACATAAACTGTTTTCAATATACATTAGCCGCAATTAACAAAATAAGAACGAGTAAGATGAATTAAATTACATAATATTTCTCAAAAGACAATACAATTATCTTAAGCATAGGAATGACTTTTATTATTTTATTTTCTACTGGTTTGTCATCAAAATAATTTATGTTCCAAGAACCACATTTAAACTTTATACATATACTGGGTGTCTCAACTAAAACTCTACGGACCAATATTTCATTAATTAGTAGAGAAATGTAATTTATTTTCTTGAAAATGCTAATCTAAATCTGTAGTAGTTCATATTTCACAATAAACCTTTCTCTCCGTTATACAGTACCAGCAAAAAGACCGTATTTATCATACACGAACACCATTTATTACCCCCATGACATAAAAGGGACGTGTTTTATACTTCTTGCACATCTTAACTTTACATCTCGAAGGCGGTTTAATCCACTTCTTGTCGTTATTCAAGTGTGTACAAGATGTTGAAGATCCGGGTTGTAAATTACGGTACCTTATGGATGCTTTTAAGCTGAAGATTTAGTCTAGAGCTTTGTGCTTTTGTCTTTTATATATTAAAAACTTTAATTTGTTGTTATCTACCCAGAGGATTCATAAGCAATTTCCGGGTGGTACACATCAAATATTAGTTTAGTGATGCAATAATTGCTCTAAATTTTAATTAATATTTGGGTAACTTTATGATATATCTGATAAAGATTGTTGCATCGAGATTACGTAAGTTGGTGCACTGTGTTACGTCAAGGTAATGGGCACAAGGCGAGGTTATGACGATAAATGACAACGTTTAAAACGGGTGCAGTGTGAACTATTTTATGTCAAAATGAATACAAGGGTTTGAGCTGAAGTGGTAGTTAATTTTTATACGAGAAGTGACACAAAGCACATATTTTCAAACGGTTTCAAAAAATTATCACCCAAAGTGAAATTGTTCCTTGTTACTATTTAAGTTATGTTGATGTTTTAGTCATTGTTACTTCACATAAATATCTAGAGGCACTATGAAAGTATCTTCTGATTTAAGAATTTTATGATTCTAATTTTTTTCAAAATAAATTTGAAAAATATGGCAACATTCTTGTTGAAAAAATTTACACAATATTTTTAACACAAAAAGGCAACATTAGAGACATTTGCTAACATTTTGCCAAATAAAAACTTTATTTTAGGTCACACAAAAACAAATAAATTAATACAAAAGATAAAAATGTGAGCAAGTTTTTCTTCAATTACGAGATTATTAACTTCAAACATTGCATCTAATTACTCATTAGGATGATTAGAAACAAACAAAACAGCGTCAATGTACTTGTTAAGGCGACGAAAATCGAGAAATTTCGTGGGATGGCATTTGGAGAGCTGAAACTTCTTGATTTTTGTTACTGATGTAAAAAATTAAAACAGATTTAATACAAAATTTCTTGAAATCTGATTGTTTTGATTTAAAAAAAATATTTAAGTATTTGATTTGGCTTGAATAAATCTGGTTTACAGGTTTTAAAATAGGTATGTACCTACAATATTTTGCCATTTTTTACATGTTTTAAATACCTGTCTTGTATTTTTGTAATAAAAAAAATAGAAATTTGAGATTATTTAATAATCATAAAGACATTTAATGTGCCAATTTTAGCTTTTCATTGTATAAATAAATAGTGATTTCTATGCTTTTTACAAATAAATCATTCAAAGTATTATTTGTAAAAACGAAAAAATAATAGCAATTATAATAAAAAAAATATATGAAAAGAAGAATTAATAATTTCTCAAGTGGTAAATCATTATTAAATATTAAAAAAAATAAAATAATGAAACATATAAGTTCAATTAATTTTTTTTGTGTTAAACGCAGTTTTAAGTGATCTTGACTTTTTGTACGATGGCAAAACTTAGCACAAACATAATTGAGCTTATTGTCTGCAACGTTTAGATTTGTTACATTTATAGTTTTAAGCGCACATTTTCCTGAAAAATTTAAATAAATGAAAACAGAGATTCAAACCTGTTTTCAGGAACTTCGATTATGTTATTATTATGGAGCAAGAAATCGAAAAGTTGGGCCCATTTATTTGTTCGTTATACAACATAAAAGACGTAGACATAAGTCTTTTTATTTTAGTGTACATATTATGAACTGTACAATATTTGTACGCCGCTAAAAATACATACATTAGCATTGATTTCATAGAAAATTGAGTTAACATTTTTTGTGCTAAGTAGAAGAAATACTTTTTCTTACATCATTTTTATTTCATGGATCATTTTGTAAATCATGTTTTTGTGGTTTGCAGTTTTTTTTGCACATTTAACATCTAAATATTGTTCCTTGGTAAATATTCAGTCATACTGGAAATTTGGTTACGTAAGATTATCTGCACTCCACTTTCATAATTTGCA